TTGTGCCTTCCTCAACACTGCGTCTGTGGGAGCAGTCCATGTCAAATCCTCAGCGCTGCGTACTCCAAGAAACTTGAAAGTGCTGACTCTCTCCACTTGTGTCCCGTTGATGGTGATGGGGGTATGTTCTCTCTTCTCTCTCCTGAAATCCACCACCTGCTCTTTGGTTTTGCTAATGTTGAGTGAGAGGTGGTTTTCCTCACACCACTGTGTCAGAGTGTGCACCTCCTCTTTGTAGGATGTCTCATCATTATTGGTGATTAGGCCCACCACCGTTGTGTCATCATTTAACGATAAAGTTGGAGCTGTGTTTGGCTGTACAGTCATGTGTGTATAGGGAGTACAAGAGTGGGCTGAGAACACAGCCCTGTGGAGCATCAGTGTTGAGGATCAGTGTGGATGATGTAATATTGTTCATTGTGACCACCTGGCGTCTGCCTGACAAGAAGTCCAGGATCCAGTTGCGCAGAGAGCTGTGTAGACCCAGATCCTCCACCAGCTTGGCAGGCACTATGGTGTTGAATGCTGATTATGCAAATTTCAGAGGGTCAGTGTGAGCGCGCAGTACAGAGCAGATGGGACTTTTAATCAGCTTTTCAAAGCACTTGCTGAAGATGGGTGTCAAAGCAACTGGGCGCCAGTCATTCAAGCGTGTGGGTTTTAGTTGATTTCAGTATGGGCACAAGAGTAGCTGTCTCAAAGCATGTGGCAACCACAGACTGAGAGAGCGAGAGGTTAAAGATGTCAGTGAAAACTCCCATTAGCTGGTGTGCGCATTCCTTAAGTACCCGTCCAGGGATGCCATCTGGGCCCGTAGCTGTCCACTACAGAAACAGAGAGTGCTAGCGGTTTCAGCCACGGGAGTGTGTGCGCGCTGTCCTGGGCTTCAAAGCGGGCGTAGAATGAGTTAAGCTCGCCCGGGAGAGACGCAGCAATGTTTACAGTGGCGGGTTTGTTACTTTTAAAGTCTGTGATGTAATTAAGTCCCTGCCACATGCTCCTTGCGTTATTGGATGTTAAATTGACCCTCTACCTTGTCTCTGTATTGACGTTTTGCTGCTTTGATGGTTTTCCTGAGGTTTTGTTGGGATCACGGCCTCATTCGCATTTCCTGATGAAGCTTGTAACTGTGTCTGTTCAGCATCAAAATGTGTCAAAATCAATGTCAATGTCACCATCACACACCGCCCGGAACATATCCCAGTCCATGTGATCAAAACAGTCTTGAAGTATGGAATCCGATTGGTCCATCCAGCTCTGAAACATCCTGAGGGTGGGTGGTTCCCCCTTCAGTTTCTGCCTGTAAGCAGGCAAAAGCAGAACAGAAGAGTGATCTGATTTGCCAAACGGTGGGCGGGGGAGGGATTTGTATGTTTCCCGGAACGGGGAATAGCAATGGTCCAAAATCCAATCACCACGCGTGTTTGTGGTGATGTGTTGATAGCACTTTGGAGTGATTTACCTAAGATTGGCATTGTTAAAGTCCTCTGTATCAATAAACGCTGCCTCCGGGTGTGCGGTTTCCTGGTCGCTTATGCTCCCGTACTGTTCCCTGAGCACCTGAGCTCTGTGTTGGCTTGAGGAGGGATGTAGACAGCCGTAATTATAACAGCTGTGAACTCTTTCGGTAGCCAGTATGGCTGACACCGAAGCATAAGATATTCCAGATCAGGAGAACAAAATGATCTAACTTGCTGTATTTTTCTCTCATCACACCATGAGTTGTTAATAAAGAAACAAACACCTCCTCTTTTGCTTTTCCCTGTGAGTTCTTTTTTTCTATCCGTGTGGTGCAAGGAGAACCACGAAAGTTCAACAGCTGTGTGTGGTACCTCCGCAGATAGCCAGGTTTCTGTAAGGCAGATAATGCAGCAGTTTCTTGTTTCCTGTTGGAAGGAAATGCACGCCCGTAGCTTGCAAATTTTGTTGTCCAGTGACTGAACTTTAGCTAGCAGAATGGTGGGGAGCTGAAGTTGAAATCCACGGAGTCTCAGTCTGACGAGGACACCGGCTCTCTTCCCTCTTTTCCGGCTGAGTTTCCTTTGTGGCTTCGTTGTGTGAACCAGACAAAGGGCTCTGTTGCTGTGTTTGTAAACAGAGCGTCGTGAAAGAACTCAAAGCCCGGTCTTCGATGTGCAATGAGGGAGCCAATTTGTCTGTCGTCTGTGTCTGTCATAGGTAACGCGTAGTGTGTACATCCAGCACGAAAATCAATTAGTAGATGTTATACAAAAATAAACGTTTTAGTAATAAATGTAGCTGGTGATGATATTTTTGGAGTTTTAAACATTCATTCATTTTCTTGTTGGCTTAGTCCCTTTATTATTCTGCGGGGGCCACAGCAGAATGAACCGCCAACTTATCTAGCATGTTTTTACACAGGGGATGCCCTTCCAGCCGCAACCCATCTCTGGGAAACATCTACACACACTCATTCACACATACACTCATACATTATGGACAGTTTAGCCTACTCAATTTACCTGTACCACATGTCTTTGAACCACATGAAACCGGAGCACCCAGAGGAAACCCACGTGAATGCAGGGAGAACATGCAAAGTCCACACAGAAATGCCAACTTAGCCGTGGCTCGAACCAGCGACTCAGTGACCTTCTTGCTGTGAGGCGACAGCACTATCCATTGTGCCACTGCATCACCATTTTAGTAATAATCTGCTGATACATTTAATGACTTAATTATTTGTTGTACTTCAGGTTATTTCATTACAAAGCTGTAACTGAAGTCGTGGTTTTTTGTATGTTCTGTTCTTGTTTTTTACCTTGAGTAAATCTTCCTGTGTTTATCGCTAATCCTCAATTATCATTTAATTAGTCATTTAATTAATTCATTTACTTCAGCTTTGCTTCATGTTTCTTGAACACTCAGTAGTGTGGACACTTGGAAGTGTTCAATTAAAACTGAGGTATTTACTCTGGGGTTTAAAGAGTTAAAGGTGTGAGAGGTAAAAACACGGTGTAAAAAATAATTTAACAGTAATATAATATTAATTTAAACTATGGATGTAGACTGTAAAAAACAGTAGATTGCTGGCAACCACAGCTGCCAGTAGTTTACCCTAAAATCAGTAAAAAAACAAACAAACTGTATTTTACTGTAAAATCTGAAACAAATTTCTTCTGTATGTCACCGTTGTGGAGGAGAGTAGAGCCAGTGTTTGAATCAAAGATGAACAATTTACTGTTGATGTTATTCTGCATGTTTCTTTACTTAAAGACAGTGGCTATTTAGTTGCTGATGCAGTGTAAGAATCTCTCTGTGTTAATTCTAGCTTTACATGTATGATTGCTGCTGTGAAATTTAAGACATTTGGGTCAAACATTATGGGTGTAAATAGCACATTACTTCATAAACTCATACAGCAGTTGGCTAATTTGAGGCAGTCGCTTTCAGTAAAGAAAATGAGTTCACTTGAGTATTGTTTATATAAATGTAGTCCATGTATTTTTACAGCAAAATATGGTAAAATAACAGTACATTGCTGACAACTGTAGCTGCCAGCATTTTACTGTTAATTTACTGTTAAAATACTGTTATTTTAACAGTAACTTGCTGGCAACTGTGCTGCCAGTAACTTACCGGTGGTTATCGGTTAGTTAACAGGACAATTTTTAACAGTGTAGGATAACAGTGCTTATTCAGATGCATAGGTGTTAATTCAATTCAGCCGTTTGAGTCTTTGTCCCACACTCCCACAGAAAAAGATTAAAATGCCTCCAACACTTATCCTGCTATAGTTTTGAGTGTAGTGACAATTCTAAAACCTAAAGAATATAACTTTTCAGTTATTTACAGTTAGGTCCATAAATATTGGGACATCGACACAATTCTGACATTTTTGCCTCTATGCACCAGAGCAAATGAACGAGATATACTTTAACTGCAGACTGTTAGCTTTCATTTGAGGGTATTCACACCCAAATCAGATGAACGCTGTAGGAATTACATTAGTTTGCATGTGTGCCTCCCACTTGTCAAGGGACCAAAAGTAATTGCACAGAATAATAATCATAAATCAAAGTTCTCTTTTTTGTCAGCTGATTAATGGGATGATAACAGCCTTCTGAGCCTACCTGTAGGCACAGAAGGCCCCAACTGGCCCATATCTATCAGCTGATGACCACTGATAATGCCTATTCAATCAAGTGATAACATCCGAAGCGGGTGTTATTTGGCTCCTCGTACCATGGTAAAAAAAAATTCCTGGGAATATTGACTAATATACCTGGGCGAATCGGGGTCCATAACACAATTACTCCCATTTTCTCCATTTACTTTAGGGAAAATATTGCTCAGGTAGTTTACTTTTTTATTTAAAAGAAAGACTAGCAGCAAATGGACATTTAAACATGCCCACACAGTAGCTGCATGCTGCAGCATCCGCAGCACCACCCCACTGTATTACAAGATCTAATTGCTGATAACATCACTGTTTAGAGCATTTGAAATATGTTGAATATAACCTTGTATGAAATTTGAGTGTAATTGACATTACAATGTTTTTAATTTTCTTTAACAATATTTTAACTACGACAGATACAACTGACAGATCATTTTAGTTAGTAAAATGCAATTAGATTCCTCCAGGACAAAATCCTGGGGGCAAATTCTGATATTGAAATCTTGATTTAAGATTTTTGTGCATGAATGTGCATGAATTAATGAAGTATTCTTGTAAACCGCTTACACTATATAAAAAAAAAGAAGAAGAACTGAAAAACACTTTGCCATGGTATACACGACAATAGTGCTCAATTTTAATGTGCACCAATGTGTTTGTGTTTTTACGCTTGTGTTGTATAACATTTGTTTGGCAAAGGTCAACTTTAAGGCATCAACTGTCTTCTTTAGAATTGGTGTTTCATACTATTTCTATTTATTATGGATAATTTATTTAGTTTACCTTGTAACTTATAACTTGAACAACCTAAAAATAATTTCAGTTATTAATAGTATTTTATCTGTTTCTTTTTCCTTAGCTGAACCTCTGGTGCAGGTGGATGGGAAACCGACCTGTTGTTTCTTCAAGTTTAGTCCAAAACTGATGTTTACCAAGGTCCTGAAGGCGCAGCTTTGGGTTTATCTGCAGCCACTAAAACAAACGTCCACTGTTTACCTGCAGATCCTGCGTCTTAAACCTATCACTGAGCAGGGAAGCCGACATATACGTATCCGATCACTCAAGATTGAGCTTGATTCTCAAGCAGGTCACTGGCAGAGCATTGACTTCAAACATGTGTTGCAGAACTGGTTCAAGCAGCCACATACAAACTGGGGTATTGATATAAATGCCTATGATGAAAGTGGCAATGACCTGGCTGTCACATCTTTGGGGCCTGGAGAGGAGGGACTGGTAAGGACCCTTAGATCTTTTTGGCAAAAAAATAAAACATGTGTATTTAAAAAATGTGTATATATATATAATAATAATATATACAAATGTTAAATGGTACTTTTTTACCGTTTGTCAGCAATATATATTAGATTTATATATATTATTTTTATTTGTTAATTTTATTATTTGCTCTTATATTTTTATAATCTCATATTTTATAAGTTTTTTTGCAACGTGCATAAAATGTAGGCTACTTTTGACTTTAAGCCATATGTCAAATTACTTTAAATATTTATTTATTGTTTCATTTTTCACAGTTTTCATAGTTTTCTGGGCAAAAGTAGAGATTAAGGGTGCTGTATGTGAGTTTTTGGCTCCTCTAAAGCATAAAAATACAATAATATGTTTGCAGATATTTAAGAAAAATGGTAAGTAAACATTCTTGTTTGTCTGAAAAACAAATGCTGATGTCAGATTATTTGCTTTGAAAATGCTGTAATGTGCCGGAACATCTGTCTTTGTTTTGGTCATTTAACCCACCCAATGCCAGTTTAGCCATTACTGTGGTTCAACACCCCAGGTTTCCTTAGTGAAAAACTGCATATTTGATTCATTAAGTCAGGAAGGCTGTCAAAACCAATAGTATCTGGATGCAACCTTTTTGATGCATGCTAAGATCTCTCAGCAATACAATGTCAGACACAATGCACTCAATGGAGCTAGTGATGTCACCGTGAGGGGTACACTCAAAAAAAAAATGATTTGTTGGCTTTAATTAATTTTTTTATGTCAACAGGTTCCACGTAACCAAGTAAAGTTACCTTAAAGAAAGAATATTTATTTGAGTAAACTTAAGTTAGTTACATAAAGATAAAGTTGTTTAGTTCAATCAACACTACAAAATTTGTTTACACTGTTAAAAAAAAATCTGTTAAATTTACGGAAAAAGACCGGCAGTCGTTGCCAAGAATTTTTTGTAAAAATATGGAAGTTTTAGCTTAGCTCACAGAAACAAAGTCATTCAGTGTTCTAATGTGTTCATGTGTGTACAATTAGCAAACAGATTTTCACTGCATTAGAAATTACACAGTTACTTTTAAACAAAAGAAGAAGCAGCACAACATCAGATATACTTTGTTCATATTGGACTTGCACACAGATGCTACTATCTTCCACAATAGAGTTTAGGGTGGAGTTAGGTGAGCCTATTCAAAAGCATTGCATGCAGCTCAGATTGCATCTGGATCAGGTCTGCAGCCAGAATAGCAGACAAAATGAGATGCAGATTCATGCCCCATTCACACAGGGTGTCAGCATCAATGCTTCCCATTCACTTTGAATCGGTGACGTCAAGCGTTGCTGAACTGCATTGTGGGTCTGTCAGCACTGCTTGGGACTAGCTCAACTTTTCAAGCATCGACGGAAGTGTCAGCCAATCAGATCGCTTACAATAAGTTCTGGTACCTTTTCAGAAATATTATATGTAAGAAAATCCTCCCATACCAACTTTGGTGGTAGGCAGGGAAAATTAGGGAATAAAGAACCAGCGCAGTGCCTTGTTTGTAAATAACGGAAAAGATGTGAAGGTGCGAGTTCTAATTCAGAAGATAACATTGTATAAGAGCAGAAGATACCCTATACAAATCTCTGAAATATAGTAAGTCTCGCCACACCAAAAACGCAGGGTCAGTGACCGTTGGAGGAAACAAGTGATTCATGGATAGTGGCATTAATGAGGAGGCAGAGGTAAACTTAAAATGCCGCCTAAATTGAGACCAAATCCTGAGAGTTGATGAGACTACTATATTATCTGTATACATGGAGGGATTAATAGGTAAAGCGGCAGTAAGTAAGGCCTGTAACGAAGTGGAAAGACATGATGTTGCCTCTAATTTGCACCAGGGAGCGTTACAGGAGTTGAACCAAAACATAGTCTTATAAATATTAACAGACCAGAAGTAAAACTTAAAGTTTGGTAGAGATAACCCCCCACTCAATTTGCAATTTTCAAGCAGAACTTTACGAACTCTAGGTACTTTACCATTCCATAGAATAGGGGTAACAATTTGGTCAACAGACTTAAAAAAGCTATTTGGCAAAAACAATGGAATACATTGAAATAATAATAAAAATTTAGGAAGAACATTCATTTTCACTGTATTAATCCTTCCAATTAATGATAAAGGAAGATTCTGCCACCTTTAGAAGTCAGATTTGGTTTGAGCCAATAAAGGGGTATAATAACCAGATTTACACAGCCTATATGAAACCTCAGAGTCTTTAAGTTGCAGGGCTAAATCATTAACAGGGAAACACTCACTCTTCTTAAAATTTATTTTATAACCAGAAAATGATCCGAATTTGTTGAAAATGGAAATGATAGAAAGGTGATTGGGTTTGAGACATATAATAACAAATCATCAGCATAAAGTGATAGTTTAGTTTCAATATTAGAACGGGAGATTCCTTTAAAAGAAACAGAGGATTGTAAGGCAATTGACAGTGGCTCAATCGCCAGGGTGAATATCAGAGGGGAGAGTGGGCATCCCTGCCGTGTACCTCTTCCTAATTTAAAATATTGTGAATGTATACCATTTGTGTGTACACTGGCCTGGGAGTGAGCATATAAGAGATGAATCCATGAAATAAACGTGTTCCCAAACCCAAATTTTTTGAGTACAGCAAAGAGGTAGGGCCATTCAACTCTGTCAAATGCTTTTTCAGCATCAAGAGCAAGAACAACCTCAGGGACAGCACAAGAATGTTTGGAATATATATTATTCAAAAGAGTACGAACATTAAAAAACAAATGTCTCCCTTTAATAAAACCTGTTTGCTCTTCAGATATTTATTGTGGGAGTATATTTTCCACACGGATAGCCAAAACTTTTTGCATCATCATTCAATAATGAAAGGGGCTTATAGGAGCTACAAGAGGTGGGATCTTTTTCCCTTTTTAAAAGTAATATATTGGAAGCTTGAATTATCATCTCAGGCAAAGATACCCGTTCCAATGACTCAGAAAAAACAGATAAGAGTATTGGAGCCAATTTATCTTGAAATTTCTTTAGAAACTCTATGGGGAAGCCGTCTGGACCAGGAGCTTTATTATTTTGCATCAGTGGGATTGCCTGTGTTATCTCTTCAATACATAATGGGGCGTCAAGATTATTGGAGACAACTGAATCAATAATAGGGGCTTCCAAATTATCTAAGAAAGCAGTCATTACACTGGTATCTAAAGGAAATTCAGATGAGTATAAATCGGAGTAAAAAGACATAAAGGTGTCATTAATACCACATGGATCAGAAATCAATTTGCCAGAATGATTGTTGATCTGCAAAATATGGCATGAGGCTGACCTCCGTCTTAGTTAGTGTGCTAACAGTCGGCTAGCTTTTTCACCATATTCATAATATGAGCTGCGAGAGTGCAACAATAAACGTTCTGTGTTGGTTGTTGCAATAAGATCAAGCTCAACATGAAGATCCATATGCTGTTTAAAGAGATCTGGAGATGGATTTATCGATAACTGTTGGTCAATATTACAAATTTTTTTACAGCTCTAGCAAATTAGCAGAGCGAGATTTGTTAAGCTGTGCAGAATATGATATAATTTGACCCTGTATAAATGCCTTAAGGGCTTCCCACAACAGTGAATAAGATGTCTCACTGTCTTGATTTGTAGCCAAATAAATATCACTTGATGAAGAAATAAACTCAATAAAATCATTGTCAGACAATAGAAGGGAATTAAACCTTCATGGTGATAAACAATTAGGTTGTGTAGACAGTTGAAGGTCAACACTGAGGGGGGCGTGGTCAGAAATAAAAATGGCATGATACTGAACTGAATTAACTTTAGGAGTGAAAATGCTATCTATAAAAAAGTAATCAATACGGGAATATGAATGGTGAACTGGGGAAAAAAACGAAAAAAACTTTTGCCTGACTATTGAAAAATCTCTATGGATCTATACATCCATTACATGCCATAAATTCTGACTCAGCTTTGGATGTAGAAGTTGGAGTCAATACTCGAGGATTTGAACGATCCAACACAGGATCAATCACACAATTAAGATCAGTGGCAAAAATCAATTTGTGTGTATTTAATAAGGGGAGTGGTTCAAATAATTTGTTTATGAAATTTGGGTCATCAAAGTTAGGTGCATAAACATTAACTAACAGAACAGGATTCTGATATAGTGAGCCTACTATAATCAAAAATCGACCATTGCTATCAGCTATCACTTTAGTAAAAGAAAGTTGCACTCTTTTGTGAAATAGCACTGCCACACCTTTGGATCTAGAGTTAAAATTTCAGTGAAAAAACTCACCCACCCATGAACACCTCATTTTAATGTGATCTACATTTCTCAAATGGGTGTCCTGCAATAAAACAATATCACTATTAAGAAATAACCAGATTACAGATACCCTTAACATTCCAGCTTAGAAACCTAACTGAAGAACCCCTGGAATTCCCTCCATCAATCACCGACCCCGCCATCTATTATAGTGTTTAAGCCTGTTTGACAGTAAGGAAATACATTTGCAAACCTCCAAGAATAAGAAAAAAAGAAAAAAAAGAAAGAAACAAAAAAAGCCTTGAACGAAACAACAAAAAACAAAACAAAATAATTAAATATATAAAAATTGCACAGAACATACAGAACACCAGCAAAACCCACCCACACCCTTGCACATTCAGGGTCCACAACAAACAAGGTAGGCCTCTGTGCTGACTCCAACTGGAGCCACATTGAAAGTTCAAGACTCACGATTAGAGAACAACTACCGGAGCTCTGTAGACTGTGTATAATAACTATTTACAACATATAAGTAGATATATAAATGAATAGGCTCCAAGCCATCCAGTAAAGCCAGATATAAGAAAATAAATAAAAATTCAATAATAATAATAAAAGAGCTGTGTCTAAGACAGTAAATGCAGTTGGCCAAATCCATGACGCATTATTAAAGAAACAAATAATAAAAAAATAATATATTGCAA